GTATGGTCATATAATTAGGTATTGAGGTAAAACTTTCTCAAAAGGAATAAGTAGTATAGTAGGAGAAATTGGGAAAGACTGGTCACAAAGTTGAAGGGAAGAAGAAATTTTGAGAAGAGAACTACTGAGTGCCATCAGACATCTAGTAGTGACTGAGCCTAGTCACTACTCGGAGTAGATGATTGTATTAATTCAGCAACAGCCTGATTCAAAGAGGAAATTTAATTTTTCAGCATCCCAGACAAGTTCTTTTTTGTTACTTACTCATGTGTCTCATTCTGCATACATGCACTGTTGTATATTCATGGTTCTTATTGGTTGTTTGTATTTCATCAGATCTCAGTTTAAAAACTTGTCTGTAGGTTTTAGGTAGATTAAAAGATGAAGAAATGCGGTGTCGGAAATACTTGCATCCCAGCTCATATGGCAAAGTGATTCATGAATGCCAACAGAGAATGGTAGCTGATCACTTGCAGTTTCTACATGCGGAGTGTCACAATATTATCAGACAAGAGAAAAGAAGTGGTAAGTCTCAGTAGTCACAAAAAGCGGGGAAGTGGTTTTTGTTTTATTCATTTAGCTTTGCAATTTGCTGTCTTTATTCAGTGACCTTCTATGCACTGAAGCATTTCAGCTGATTTATGTTACTTATCTAGAAAGCCCAGTTAAACTCTGAATGACATTTTTCTTTTACCTTGTAATTAATTTTCATTCTTCCAAATACATAGTCAAAACCTTCTTCTTACTGTTAACAACCCTTCTTTTGGCCAGCTCTTCTCTTTGCTTGTCTTAGTCGGCTTAAAACCACACTGAAGTCCTGTGTCCTGTAGAACTGATTGTATTTTATGCTTGTGTTTTCATTTGTAAACCAATGGCCCTGTCTTTACAGTTCTCTTCACCATCCTGTGACAGGTCAGGATTATAAAATATTTTGGCTTCTTTTCATAGTCACTTCTATTGTCCTGAATCTTTTGTGACCTCTCTTCCCAAATGCTTTTTACAGAAGCAGGTGCTCTTATAGTTATATTCCTTGCCTGACTAAAAAAATTATGCTTCCTGATGACCTCATGCCTCTTACCCTTGAAAGAAAGCTCATTCTTGCATGGAAGATGGTATCTATTAAGTGAAACAAATTACTTTTCACAGTCAAACTTAAATTGTATCAAATAATAGAGTTCAGTTTCCAGAGTGTTTTGCAAATTTGATTAGAGCTTGGATCCTTTTTTTGCAAAAAAAAAAATAAAATCATAAAATAGCAGTTACTTACAGCTTTTCTAACCTGAGAAAAAATTTAAGCCACCACTGGGGGAAAACAAAAAGTCAGGAAGATATCTAAACAGATTTTAGTCAGCTGCTGCTAAGGGAGATTTAGGGAGGGCAAGGATTGAAATAAACTGACACAATAGTTTTCCATACAAGCCCACCTCTCCTCTTGGAGTTTCTTCTAAATAAGCAGTATTGGAAGAGTGAGGTAGTTACAATGGCAGTACTCAGTAAATACTGATATTAGCCCTACTCTTTCCTTTTTTTGTTTTGTCAGTGATCCAGTGTATGTTAAAATTTTTTTCAAAACAGCTGGTCTTGTTTCAGTCTTTGAAAAGTTCTGTGTGAAATTATGATACTATATTAAGTGTTGATTTTCTATAAAAATGTATCTCTGTTACAGACATGGCAAATATGTATACTCTACTTCGTGCTGTGTCAAGTGGTTTACCTCATATGATTCAGGAACTACAAAACCATATCCATGATGAGGGCCTTAGAGCAACCAGCAATCTTTCTCAGGAAAATGTGAGTTTCCTTAGCAGCTGAAATTACTTATTTGATTAACAGTCCTCATGCAATGTTTACCCTTTTCTTTTTAGTCTAGTCTGGTTTTTTAAATTTTGTCTCTCTGAAATTAGTTTGGAACATTACGGAAAAATTGTGATTTCTATGCAGCAGCACTTCTAGCTGTGCAACACATATCTGTCCTGAGAGTTGATTGTTGTGATCTAACCAGGAACAACTGCAGCTAGATATTTCTCATTGTTGTTTGTTTAATGCTGTCACGGCAAGTAGGTCCTTTTGTTCCATGTATGTATTTTTTTTCCTGAATTTCTCTAAGTCATAGTGGCATTTGCCATTCTGGTATGTTAGGAACCAAGTATTCCATTTAGTTTCGTTACATGTTATTTGTAAAAACTTGACATTCTGTCCTGATTTCGGTGTGGTGTTTTTCACTGATAGCTTTCTAGTCTCACATTTTCATGTAATTTCTGAAAATAGTGTAGCTTAATTATTTTACTAAAGTGTGTTAAACTTTTTTCAATTCATGTGTATTTAAATTACTCAATTCCATTTTTGTTCCTCTAGCATTGCTGTTCAGAAATAAGCAAACCAACAAGCTTTCATTTGGCATTATATTTGTACATGTATAGATCTTGCTATCTAGGTCTGTACTCTCATTAGAATGGTGACTTTAGCCCTTCAGTGTTTCTGTCTCTAATAATACATAGATATGAACTGTTGTAAATTCACTCTTTTATTGACTGCACAGGAGTGCTTACTCTTCCACAATTCCTGTGTGCATATTGAAAGGAGAATGAAGTCTTTATTAGTATACTTTGCTTTCAAATTATTTAAGTTTATTGAGCATGTTCTTTCAACCTAATAGTGTCTACACAGGGAAATGAATGCAGAGTCATGAGGATGATGAAAATTCACAGCCTTCTGTAGATAAATTCGAAATGTGAAATACTTGTTCCACTCTGAGGATTAAGTGCTTTGCCATCAACACATTTTTAGTGTGTGACCTGAGAATGCACTTGGGGAGTCATGTGATGCGGCCAGTGCATTGCACGCTGTTGCATTGCTGCCTGCCAGCTTGTGTGTTAGGGACTCCTCTAATTCATATCAGTCATTTCTATACAAAATGCTGTGCTGAAACGTGGCACACGAAATTTGGTTGTTAACTGTCCTACGTAGGAAAATTCAAAGGATTCATCCGGAATTTCTGTCTCTGAAGTCAGTGTGTAGGAAAGGCAGCAGTTTATTTCAGTGGGTTTTTGGCTTGATTGCTGTATTTACATGTTAGCGTTAATCATTTTTGAAAGGAATACTAAAGGATTTTAGGGTATGATGGAAAAGATTAGACAGCATGAGCAGTATAGACTCAAATCTGTTTGATAGCAGGGCTGTAAATGTAGCCATAGACTTTTTATTTCCAAAACATGCTCAAGCCCCGTGGTGTAACATACAACAATGCAGAATCAATCCTTTCAGACTTAATTGCTATAATTGTAACTTATAATAAAAAGAATAATCAGGGAAAAAATGTACAACTAACACAGATATGTTTGTGTGTAGGTAATACTACGTTTCTCACTAACTTGCTTTCTGTTTTATCCACCTTTTTTAGATGCCAACTCAGTTTGTGGAATCAGTTTTGGAAGTACATAGTAAATTTGTTCAACTCATCAACACTGTTTTGAATGGTGATCAACACTTTATGAGTGCCCTTGACAAGGTAACTTTTACTTAAGTAGAAAAAGCATTGGAAAACAAAATGCAGGACCCTGTCTCAAGCTCACCAGAATTCTTCAGGACATCAATACATGTTCAAAGATAGAATTCTTAGGCAGTTTTTCTAGTTTAGAAATGCAGTGGAACAAAAGACAATCCTGTGTTAAGGGAGAAGATACTTACAAAGCAAACCACTTTAATACTTCAATGTTTTCTGAAAGAAAGAGCTTTCTTTTCATAATTTAAAACATAAAAATGTAGGTGAGCCACTTAATGTAAATTTAAGTGCAGATAATAAATAGACAAATTATGGGTTTGGGGAAGTTTGGTGACTCTTAACATGCATTTGCACTTGAATTTGCTTGCTGCCATAATGTTTAAAATCTAAATGCTGATAGCATTACTTACATAGAAGCTTTATTTAGATTTTTGAAGTTGACTACAAAGAATATCTGGAAACTTACATTACTTCAGTCACTGTCACGATAGCTAACTTTTGCCCGGAGAGAACTGCACTTGCAGTTAAGTAAGCCTGCTTAGCAAAAGAGGCTTGCCGCTTTTTTCTTTGAAATGCATAGCCATGGAGGTATTTCAGATAACAGTTCTAATCGTTGCTGTGGTTATATAATTTATAATTATAGGTTATATTAATATAGTAACAACAACTAACATTCACTATTATTATGAATGTTATTAAATCCTGTAAAATATGCCTGGGCTCTTGAGGGATTGAATGGCTCCTTAAAAAAGTACATTTTATCTAACCCATTTTTTGATTTCCCACTTGTATCCTTCTGTCTTTCCTAGACAGTGCACTTTGTACTTTCCTGTCTATAACTTCCTGTCATAGGATGCATGTGTACATTTCATTGCTCTTTTGTGGTGTTTACAGTAATTGCAGTTTGTAGTTAGGGTTGTTGTCTAAGCTGTGATAGTTCTTAGCCAAGGTTAATCTGGGAAGATTTAGTGATGAAGATACCAGCAATAATATAAATAGTAGTTACCCATCTGTATTTGTGATATTCATAAAATAATTATTTAGTATTTTAAAACAAATACTTATTTCAGTACCGATACATTTCTGTCTCAATTGCAATTAATGTTGTGTACCAGAAGGTGGAGTAATACGAGATTGACAACTACATTTGCTGCCACATAAGCGATGTACTTTTTCCTTAGATACATCAATTCTTCACTTCTGTGGTCTTTGTTACAATCAGTATTTAGAATCTTAATCTACTGTCAGTTTTTCATGGTGGATATCAAAACTGCCGTTGTTGCTTCCAGTATTATTGCACAAGAGTGCTCTAAGCTTCAAAGAGTTTCATATTTCTTGTCAAGTCATGCATTCCTTTTCTTACAGGGATTCTAGGGACCTGTTATCAAATATTGGAATGTCAAGGCATTGCACAGAATAGTTGCTTTTCAGTTCTTCTGTTTAATAATAATAATGTTTTCCTTCCATAGAAGAAACTATAATTCCTAGGAGGTATGGTCAGGCAATGTTTTTGGTTCAGAGTTAGTTTAAAACGTCAATTTGAATGTGATCTGTAGTTTAGAAACTAATCATGATGATTCTGATATCTTTGTTTACAATTTCCAGTTCTAAAGTGCCATTGTCTGTGTGACCTACTCTAGGTGGCCCTGCTCTGGCAGGGGGGTTGGGCTAGATGATCTTTCGAGGTCCCTTCTAACCTCTGATATTCTGTGATTATCTCCTTGCTTTCCTTTTTTGTCAAATTCAGGTTTTCTTCAGCTACCATGTTTTCTGTGTTGCACTGCTTTGGATTTCCACTTTCAACAATATTTTTTCTCCTTTTTAGTCTATCAGAAAATCCGACAACTAAAAGATCTTTCCTTTCTTACTGTTATGAGCACACCATGTATGTTTTTCAGGTCAAGATACACATTGTTGATGTAAGCTGCTGTTGATGTGCTGCTGCTCAAATCTGCTTTATCTGCAATTATTCCTCAGTTTCTTTCCATCCATACTTTTGGACCATACATATTGCTGTATACCAAAGACTTCATACTTTTACACTTTAAGTTTCTAATCAGAACTTAATTTGTTCTCCTGCTTTCTGCAATTAGCTTTTAGTTAAATCTCAGCTTTAAAATGTTCAACACAAATTCTCACAGAGCAGTAGTTAAAACCCTTTTATTCATTGATTCTTCATGATCCTCTTATGTGTAGTTCAGTTTCAGTCTTAGGTGGTCTTTGCCCTGAATATTTTTTTGATTTCTTCAAATTTCATAAAAGAAAATTTTTAAGTCATTTACATCTTTGCTCTATGTTCCTATGTAGGCTTTGACATCAGTAGTTAACTATAGGGAGCCCAAGTCGATCTGCAAAGCACCTGAGTTGGTAAGTGATATATATTATTCTAGAAAGTAGTAATACTTTTTTATAACTGTCAAATGAATGGGCATAGGGTCCATCACATGAATATCCATTCCTCACACTGCCTCAGGTGTGTATTTCAGCAGTAATAAATAACTTAACCTGCACACATGTTTTCTGGGTGTGCAAAATTGGTGCAGCTGTAATTTTTTACATAAAATTTGTATTTTCTGTGGATGTAGTATGTATTGTTTACCTATGAATACAGCCCTTGTAATAGAACATCAGACTGTGACATATTTCATGCTTAAACTTTTGTGTAGATGTTTGGAATACCTTGACATACATTCGTTCTCAAGCTTGACAAGTAGGTTTGGGTTTGTTTTTTTCTTTTTCTAACTTGAGCTGGCCAAGTACTGTGACAACTTGTTGAAGAAATCAGCAAAAGGCATGACAGAGAATGAAGTAGAAGACAAACTTACAAGTTTCATTACTGTTTTCAAATACATTGATGACAAAGATGTATTCCAAAAGGTAACTTCTGATATTCAGTAACTGTTAAAATGTTACATTTAAAGTGTACTTGAGCAATGTGGTTATGCTTTTAAAAATCCTCGTATCTGATTTTTTTTTTATGCAGTTCTATGCCAGAATGTTGGCAAAAAGATTAATTCATGGTTTGTCTATGTCTATGGATTCTGAAGAAGCCATGATTAATAAACTAAAGGTAATATAATATTCTTGTAATGCAGAATAAACGAACAGGGGAGTATGTAATGTTGAGAGGGAGCAGCAGAGGGTGTCAGAGGTAACTTAGCAATCAGTAGATCCTGTTTCCAATGGCTGAAAGGAAAAACTAGTTTCTTGGTAGTCTATGGTCAACTATCACCTAGGCATTTGGGATTTTTATGAGGTTTTGGGTAGTTTTATTAAGTGTGTTCAAATAACTCATATTTACATTACAAAAGTACTGAGGACTTTCATAAAATTGAAAGATAGAGCTAGTTTATGAAATAACATTTTTCATATGAATCAATACATGGAAAGTGAAATTAAGATAAATCTGATAATTTTCTTTTATAATGTTTGTTTTCTAGTGTAACTAGTGTTCTCTGTAAATAGTATAACAACATTTCTGCTGACTAGATTTTCATATTTCAGTAGTGAATATGCATGATTTATATAGTAAGTGCTGTTTTCACTGTGAAAACTGTTACAATATTTCTTCACAGCAAGCCTGTGGTTATGAATTTACCAGCAAGCTCCATCGAATGTATACAGACATGAGTGTTAGTGCTGATCTCAACAATAAATTCAACAACTTTATCAAAAACCAGGACACGATTATAGATTTGGGAATTAGTTTTCAGATATATGTTCTACAGGTACTAATGTATGTTTATTACTATTGAATTATTTGCACTTAATTTTTATGTTTTGGTAACAAGTGAATGATTTTTCTACCTATGAATACTTCTCAAATGCAGACTGGTGCCATGTGATCATTGTGGAATAATTTCTTTTCCTAGTGTTTCTTTTTAAAATTAATCCACTAAACAATAGTGATGTAAAATGCCTTATGTTCTTGTCTTGAATTAATACCTCAGTGGGGTATGCATAATGAGCAGTAAAAAATAAGCAGTAAAAATTCTGGTGTTACTTGAATGTCTTATGGTATAATATGCACTATAGATCTGTTTAATAGTGTTATTTTATGTTAAAGTATATGTTGTATGAAAATGTTAATGCTTTTCTTTTTCTTGATACTTTAGGCTGGTGCATGGCCTCTGACTCAGGCTCCTTCTTCTACATTTGCAATTCCTCAGGAACTGGAAAAAAGTGTACAGATGGTAGGTTAGTAGGAGGCTTTGTGTAAACATGTGGAAAATGTGAAATAACTCCCAATAAAAGATCATGACTGTAACAGAGAAAAACCTGAGCTGCTTCATTTTGTTTGTTAATCATGGCTATCCTGTTTGAATTCCATATGAAATTTGGGAGGGTCACCCAAACGACCTACTGAATTTATGTATGTATTTGCATAACTTGTCTTTATTTTTCACATCTCTCTTCTACAGTTTGTGGTTGATGAGGGAGTTACTAATAAATACAGTCAAATTAACTGGGTTGATTCTTAGCTTTAAAACAAATTCCTGATATTTAAAGAAAAGAAGATTTTGTTTCTAATATTAAATCTGAACAGATTTAATAGCAGATTGAAATGCAGATACAGGTTTTCCTTGTCCCATGTTTCGTAGGAGCCATTCAAAGTCAAGCTTCATGCAAACTTCTGTAAAGCTAATTTTGCAAATTCTCAAAGCAGTAAAGGCTTTACTTTGGCCAAATACTCTTTTTATGTGCTTATTTCTGCTTTGTGGAGGTGGAATATTTTATTACTTTTGAATACATTACTGTGTCCTAAATGTTACCTGTACAATGTTTGTGTTAAAATATAAAATATATGTGTCAGTCTTTACTAAAGTGTATTTAATGGTGAAGCACATTTTAAGCAATAAAAATTCCATATTATTGGACATTGCATATTTTTTTAAAGCCATTTTATACCTTAAATTGCTATCTGACGTAAATTATAATGGCAAATGTCTGTTTCTGTGGTGAAGGAGCTTTTTAATTTATTACAAAATATTAGAACTATTTATTCTGCTTTTATTTCCACTATATTAAGTGGCACTTGGTTTTAGCAATATAGTAGTTTGCAAGACATACTATGGGATCCACAGAAGGTGATTGATGGCGTTTTTGTGTTCTTTGTGGGCTTAAAATAGGAGTATTGTCAGTTGGGTCTCATTTGGAAGATTGTTACGGACTTGCATATCAGAATCTCAGAGTCTGGGTTGCCTAACTATCACTGTTTTGCCAGTTTAAAGGAGCAAACATTCATGTGTCACCTAGCTGGAGCTAATGCTAAATTTTACTCATAATTCCCTGAGGAAAGAGGAACAGAATATGACCTTGGGGAGTCTTGGAAAATTGACAAAGTTTGTCTTTACTGTTGAATTCGATCATTTGACCCATGAAGAGAGAGTTGTTTCAGGATTCTGGCCAGGATTTGGAAAGAAAATAACATTTTGCAGTTGCACTCCGAAGTATGGGAGCACCTCTGTAAATGGGCAAACTGTTTAGCAGCTTTTTCAGGCTCGAAGACTGATGGAGCTTCCTATAATATAAATATATATTTACGGGAATGGTGTACAAATACTGGTTTTCATACTACATAAGCTTGTGAGTGGAGGAACACCTGGTTGTTAAAGAGGTTGAAAGTCCCCCTTTACACATGTTCCTTTGATGTTGATCAGAGTTGCCAGACCAAATCAGAGTAAGCCAAACTGATGTGTACAGTGTAGGCTAGTGGGGTTTAGGGAGGTTTGATCCCTTTTTAGGGAAAAGTTCTTTCAATCTGTGTAAGTTTTTCTCATTACCAGAAAGTAGTTAAGACCTTAAATTAGGATTAGTCTGCAAGCCACAGTTTCTTTCAGATAGGAAGTATGAGACCAAAATTTCTGAATTTTTCTCTTAAAAAAAGAAGGTTAAATATTAAAACTAAGGTTTTAATCTTGCTGATGTGTGGAGTTTGATTTGTTCCTCTTGGCTATAGGGCTAATACATAAGATTAAGGTCAGATTTTTATTTTCATTTTTCTGTTGGATTTTCAGCCAAATTTCAGTTATTTTCAGAGGACAATGAAGAGAATTCTGTAGCTACTAAAATGCTACTAAAAATCCCCATTATATATTTCTCCTTACAAGCAAAATGATCAGACTCTTATATTACATACGTTAAAATAAAATCTTGATTTTTACAAGCCTTGCCATGAACTTCCACTTCCGTCTGTGGAGAAATTCTTCTTTTCCTTTCTGTCAGAGTAACTTTTCTGTATCAGTTTAGCTCACAGAATAAGTAATGTAGAAGCAATGTCCTCAAAGGGTTTTTTAAACATTCTGGAATATCGTCAATTGTTCTTCAAAATCCAGTGCTTCCTTTTGTTTCATACGACTTTTTCTTATTCTCTCTCCATTGCTTGCTAGTTTCCAGGAACGTACTTGCTAGTTTCCAGGAATGGCAGGATTGATGGATTATATATAATAGGGGAATAAGATTTTGCTGCTTCTCTGTAAATGTGATTTTTTTTTTTTTTTTCCTTGTCACACAGGTCATTTATGCCTTTCCTTTTCTTATTCTCTGTTGGTGAAAATGACATTTAAATGTACATAAATAACTTCTGAAAGAATCTTCTAGGAATTGCATTCCTAGAGTCTTCTGGAAAGTGTTCTCATTTAGATTAGCCAGACTTGTGCACCTTAGTGCCAGTTTTCAAACTGCGTAGCTAATTTTCACGTGCACAAAACCAAAACCTTTGTTTCTTAAAGAAGAATTTTCAAGTCGTTTTTAAGTCCTTTTCTTATTTAGAGGGGTTTTTTCCCATATTCCTGTTCTGATGTATATTTGTTTGTCTTTGTATAATTTAAATGTCTGGAAAAAATGCTTTCCAGAATGATTGATGCAGTGCTTCTCATAATCACAAGAAATTAATTTCAAAATCAAAAAAAGAAGGAAGGACTTAGCATTACTGCTAATGCTAGTTTTACATGTAAGATTCTTAACATACTGGTTTTGAGGGGATGCTTCAATTTTTGGGTGTCAGCACAACTTTGAAATACTACTTCCTAAATCATAAATGCGTGCTTCTTGGTGAAAATAGGTTTTGGAAAGTTTCAACAGAAATTTGAGGATCTGTAGTCACTTCTTGAATCTGAGAAGTTTGCAAACTGTGTAGTTCTGTCTAGCCTGGAATCCAAATTGGAAGGTGGCAAAACCTGCCCACTTTCAAGCTTGCTCTTTTGGAGTTCCTCCTAAAAATATGTTCAGGAATGTAAGATGAGATTTTTCATGAAAGTCAATGTGTAGCTGACTGTGAGAAATACCTGTTAACTAAAGTTATGTTTTTTTCAAGGATGTTATTAAAAAAATTCAGTAAAGTGGATTTTCTGAAAAGCTATGGAATATAGAATGATTTCGCCAAGGTGAAAAAGTAAAAATACACTTGTTTTCCTGTGGAATTGGAAGGAAGAAAATAATAAAACCTAACAAGATTAATTGCTAAAACCTCCTAGAAATTCTTTTAAATTCAGTGGAGTTCATACTACTTTGGAACAATGTTTAACTACAGTATTTTATGCTTTGAGAGTATGAATGTGTCAACAGTCTTTTTGATTTAGTCATCAAGTGGTATGTTAATGTTAATATGTTTAAGTAGTTCAGTAAATGACTGATGTTCAGTCATCACCGGTCTTCTAAAGGAGAATGCTGTCATGAATTGATCTGCAATATTTGCCTCCAATATGGTGAACATAAAACCTGTTTTTCGTCACTGGGGTGGTAGTGTGATAATAAGCTATTGTAAGTAGTTATATGTGTGACTAATTAAAGGCCATTTTGTTTTGCAGTTTGAATTATTTTACAGTCAGCATTTTAGTGGAAGGAAGCTTACTTGGTTACATTATCTTTGTACAGGTAAAAATAAGTGCTTTGCTAAACTTACGCTCTCTACAACTGACAGTTATTTGTTAAAAGCCTTTTTCGAATGGCAACAGGCTTTGAAGTTGGAAGCTCAGGTTGCATGTAAAGTCAGCCAACTTATTTTGCATTATACATTAATATTTGCTGCTCAGTATTTCCAAAGTTATGTTTTGTAAACTTGCATATGTTATCAGTGATTTATTAAATCCAAGGAAAGCTAGAGTTGTACGTTCTTGACTACAGAATGGCACTGCAGAACTGCTGAGTTAATAACAATTGCCTGGAATTGTTTCTGTAGTATCAGATGTCCCTTAGCTGAATATTAAATAATTTTAAGAATGCATATTTTACTATTTTACTCAGATACGTAAGTATCTAAGTAAATACATGTATATATTTAATAATGTTTATATTTATCAATTGGAAATAGATGGTAAAAAGATCTTAGAAGAGATATATAAGATTGTAGTTTAATCTAGTGAGTATCAGTCAATAATATTTTATTTCAAGTGCTCTCAGTGTTAGGCTTTAACAACTGAGCACCACAAGGTATTACATGGAGGTGAAAACCAGGCTAGCGTACAACAATATAATGTAATGAAAATGTAGTTCTGATAGTAGGAGGTAGCCTTTAACTCACACTCGCCTTCACACAGAAAATCTAAATCTGTTTGCAGGCAGATCTCATCAGTGCCTTTTTTAAAAAATTTCAGGGGAATTTAAAGGTTATAAGAATATTCTGAAAAGCTTTTAATGGACAAGTCTTCTGTCTTGTTTTTAACACTTTTCCTTGGAACAACTTTCATGTAATTACTGTTGTGTGTGAGCTATTACTAATTGAAGTTTATTTATTCTATTGCAATGTATTCAGGCTATTTGGATTTTCCTTTTTTAATTATTATAAATTATATTGCATTATTCAAATTCAACACTGTATATTTCCTTTTTTATTGAAAACACTATTGTTCCAGGTTTTGTAGTTAATCAGAGGGTTTTTTGTTGCAGACCATGTTCTATGTGTGTAAATTCACAGCATCAGTTTTCATCTTCCCGTTCCAAGTGCTAAATGCATACTTAGGCATGAACTGAATATCTGGAAATGTACAAGGAGCTCTAGTAGTTAGGCTTCAGATGACTTTTTGGCACATTCCATCAGATTATAAAATACTACTTGTGTCATTACAGGTGAAGTAAAAATGAATTATTTGTGCAAACCTTATGTAGCCATGGTTACAACGTACCAAATGGCAGTGTTGCTTGCCTTCAACAACAGCGAAACTGTTGGTTACAAGGAGCTTCAGGATAGTACACAAATGAATGAGAAGGAACTGACAAAAACCATCAAGTCCTTACTTGATGTCAAAATGATCAACCATGACTCAGACAAGGTATGCAGTAATGATATGGAAAAGTTTCATGTTTTCAGTCTTGTGATTCTAGTATTTGTTGAGGGCTTTTTTTAATGTAAAAGAATCCACAGTTTGCTGTTTTTCCTAAACTGTATTATTGACCCTTGTGATCTATTATAAATCTCTGTTTATAAGGAGAGAGACAGGAGTGTTGTATAGGATCTCTGTGCCTTAAACAGCGTGGTATGCCGAAAAGGTAATAATGCTAGGACTCCTTATTGTTTCTGTTGCGTTTTATCCATATGGCTTCAGACTCACTGCTGTTGGACGGGAATACTCTTTAAATGCATCACTTTCAAAGCTGCACTGAATCTTGGGAAGGGGCCCAAGTAATAAACCAGAGTCGTACAGAGATCCTAGAAAAAAATTGTGGGATTAAGACACTGTAAGTAACAGCCACCATGTTCTTCCTTGCAGACTGATTACAGGAGGAGGAAAGAGCAAGGAGGGCTTGTGTGAGAGGACTTTTGCTGGAATTTGCCAAACTGTCATTCCATGAGTTTCATGGAATTCCAGGAATATCTGAGCTGTGTTTGTGTCTAAGGCAACGGTTGATGTTTCTGACTGCCTCATACTTTTGTACGACCTACATGAAACCAGTTAACCCTTTTTCCCCTACGGCAAAGGGCACAGATGTCCATTATTTAAGAAACACCATGGAAATACCTGTGCGTACCATGCAGACTTTAGCATGTGCTTCCAGCTGGCCCAGAAGGGCTGTTACTCAGACAGTGTCAGACAGAGAAAACTGAGATAAGCTGTTCACTTCCCTTATGAGAAAAAACCCAAAGCTGCTCTGATAGCTGCTTTTTTTTTAACCAGGAAAATAGTAGAAAATGGAAAGTGAGATCACGAGGAAGATCTGATGCTTGGCTGAAGCGTAGGACATGCTTCCAATATCTAGAAATGAGCTCAGGTTGGAACAGTGGCTGGGAAGATGTGTGTTAAACCATGGGTGAAATAGAACACTGGGAGCTATTACAGAAAACAGTGAGATTTTTCATACTCTTAGGAAGTTGCCCATTATTTAAGACACTTATGTATGTCTGTTGTATAAGGTTTGCATGATTTCTTTAAGCACGTGCCACTGAAGAGTGAATGGCATAGCCTTCCAGCCCTTTTACCTTTTAGTGTTAACCACTGCATTTTCTGGTTCTTTAACTTCCAGGCTATTGTATTCAAACATCTCTGCTAATTCTGTTTTCTTTGCAGTCCATCCAGCAATGTGAAAGCAGATCTGTACACAGTCATGTCAGCTTACTTGTTGAATAAGCCAGTGAACTTTAGTGGCTTAAGCAGTGAAATTAAATACACTAACTTCTCTTTACCTGTATCGAGCCACGCAGAAAAGTACAGTGTGTTAAATGTTGTAGTCTGTGCTCTTGTTCTTTTTTTGAAAGAGAAAAAAAAAAAAAAGAAACGAAACTTTGGGCAAAATCCTTATTGGTTCCTTTGAATCATGCTTTTTGAGTTCATGCACAACACAATTTATTTTGATTTATACTCAACCATGTAAGCAGAATAATGCTAAAATTTGTTAGCTTGTATTTTTTTAAAGCTGTTGATCTTTGCCTTTTCATGTTAAATTTTCTATACTCTGACTAGATATTATAAAATGTTATAATAAAGAATATTTTTTGCTGAATAGAAAATTAGAATTAATGTTTTGAGTATATATTTAGATAAATACTGACTGTTTACTAAAGTATTTGTGCTTGAGGCAGCCATGGTTTGGCAAGATTCCAAAGTCTAAGCAGCCCAGTAATGTTATTCTGCTGGAAATTGGTAATGCGTGTCCAGACTCTTGCCTGGAAACTGCAAAGCTCAGTCAGGTCATACTGTTAGTTGAACATAAGGGTGTTTGGACTGCAGGGAATCATTACCATTTATTGAAAGAAATGGACTTTTACGTGTGGAAAAGTAGTGAGATTCTGACAGGAAAAAATTAGAAGCATACAGATAGATATGGAACTGTAGAAGTTGCAGTTTGTCAACTGTTTCTGCTATAACATAACAAAATACTTAGATGTTTTTTCCTTAAGTTCTGGAAGGCAACATTAGTAATAGTTGTGAAAGTAACAGCTCACTTCCTTGAGGTCCTACCATAAATAAATGCAAATTCTACTTTCTTTGCAGGGAGAAAATGAGTTTAAATGGAGAGTGTTTGCAACTAAGATAAGCTGTTGAAGTATTAAAACAGAAATTGCTTTAATCATATTGGCTTGTTAACAAAATCAATGTATGTCAGAGTTCTTTACAGTGTTTTCTAAAGTAAACTTGATTTCTGGATTAGTTAAACTTTAGCTTAAAAAATTGCCTTGATTCAAGTGGCATTTTAGAATTTTCAACTACAAATCTGAAATTGTTTGTGTGTAAGCCCCTAGCTGTGATTTTTTTCAAAGTAAATTGTTACCATTTTCTGGTTCTGTTTCTGATTTTTTAAAAAGATTCTTTATTGCAGGAAGAGATAGAGGCAGAGTCTACGTTTTCATTAAATATGAACTTCAGCAGTAAACGAACAAAATTTAAAATTACTACATCAATGCAGAAAGATACACCACAGGCAAGTATTCTTTGGTGTTTCTAGCTTGAACAGCTTAGCTTATTTTTCTAAAATCAAATTTGTTGTATTAGTTTGGTGTAAGCAGATGTAAGAGTCCCTGTGTATAAGATTTACATCACAGTAAAGAAATTGTTTAAAGTTTAAGCAGTGCAAATTTTTTTGTACTTAAAATATAGGCAGGAGACGATGGAACAGGGAATAAGAAAGTAGAAGAAAGAGATAAACGAGCTATTCCTCTTGTCCCAAATGGGATTGACATTTAGCTGGCCTTATCTAATGAGACTTTTTTGGTGGTACGAAACAAGCAGCTTGTTCCAGGAACAGCGGAACCAATGAACTCTGTTTTCCTGTGGTTTTGTGTCCTTTGGCAACTAAAATTACCTCCAGTATTGATAATCTGTGTCCCTGTGTATCTCCGAAGACACAGAATTTTGTACAAGAGATGCATATGCTGCCAAACTCAATACATTGTAGTAAATTCTGCCTGCCTTTCTCCCAAGCAAAAACACTGGCTTACATGTCTCTCCTCCTACTCTGACTTTCCTGAAGCCTGGTATTCTTGATTTATGGAAGTACTTTGACTGGTTTTGAACTTCGCCTAGATTTTTGCAATAATCGACAACTTTCAATAAAGTAAAAAGTATAGATTCAGGGTACTTTTATGACGTGTTTATTGATCTGATTATATTTTAAGCATTAACGTTCTTCATGTATCACAGGAGATGGAGCAGACCAGAAGTGCTGTAGATGAAGACAGGAAAATGTATCTTCAAGCTGCTATAGTCCGTATCATGAAAGCGCGTAAAGTGTTGCGACATAATGCTCTTATTCAGGAGGTAAGATAAAATCCTCTTAAGCATGACTTGATGAAAATCTTAAGGATAGTTGAGTAAAAAAATCTGACACAGAACTCTCCCATGTCAAAACAAATACCTCAGTGAAATTAGTGAGAATTTCATTGAAGTCTACTTTGAACTGCAGTATTGGAGCACTAGCTGTGATCCCTCAATCTTGTAACTGTGTCTCAGCACTAAAGCGTTAGGTGCCTCTGTGCTTGCTCTTTCCTGTTGCCTGGTTCTATGCTGACAGATGTTGTATCCTGTAAGAATCATTGCCAGAGCTGCAAGTTCAGTTGAAAACCTGAGTATAGATATGCTAAGAATGGAATTTCGACAGAAGCACCTAGCCAATTTTGAGCTCTAACTGTGATTTTATTCTAATTTATGTCTTAAATTTTAAAAGTTAACTGAGTATGTAGATGTGCACTTCTTAATCTGCCTTTTGTATTCAGCAGTACAGTAGTCTAGAATTTTTAGATTCTAAATTAATGATCTGTGAACTATCACAGACTGGCTGGGAAGGAAGTGCTATTTCTTTTGATTTTTCTCCCACTTTCCCATCTATGCTAGCTGTCTGCCTAACTGTATTTTTTTATTCCAACTTAACCTTTGCTCCTACCAGCCACTTCCCAGTTTTACTTTTCTCAGCCTTCCAAGGCATTCATTCTTCAGTCTAATTCATTCTTGTGTCTCCTGAGCTGTGCTGGATAGCCTCAGAGCGGTCTGGTGGGAGAGGCAGTAAAGATTCCTGCTTTATTTGGCCATTTTGAGCATGGAGGTGGAGAGGCGTTCAGTCATTTTGAGATCCGCTGTATGCTCTCCATCTTGTGGTGATGGAAGAAACAGTTTACCACACCCACCACTTTTTATTTCCTAAAAAAAATAAACAGTTACAGGGAGCTTATAAGCACAGAACTTGGAATGTGAGACATCTTAAAGGTTTTGAAAAAGTGCATGGACACAAATACTCTGAAAGCAAGCTTAATTTAAGAAATCTGATTTTGAATACCTAAAAGATGAGGCAACGTAGGTCCTGATTATTTTCGAAATCTGTGGTTATTTGGTTTCCTGTTACTTAAATCATGCCTGCAATTATGATGAAATCCTGTAAGAATTTACAGGTAAAATGAGGAAATGGTAGGTTTCATCTTTGAAAATACCTTTTTCACCCTGATCTCAAATTCTTAGAAAAAGTTTTTAAAGTAAACTTTGCTTGGGACCATTTTATAGTGGTGGAATAGATCACAAATTTTTGTATTTTGGAAACAAAAAATCCTTTCTAGTTGCTTCTTCCTTTGTTTAACTCAGGGAGTACTATCTGACACACCTCTGCAGTATTTAGCTGTCACAGAATAATGTGATTAATAGCCTTTTTCACGCTTTGCAAGAAAGGTAGATATTTTGATTGTTACTCAGTTAAAAAACTAAGTAGAGAGTAAAGTTGGTACTCCATTTATCTATCATCAGCAGTGTCCACTAGTATTGGTTTTTTACCTTAGCTTTTAACTAAATTTATGACACTTTTGAAAGTCATATCCTTTATAATTTAGTCTTTAGTTCTCTATTTTGAATACGACTTACATCCTAGATGGATTAGAGCATTTAAAACATGGCTAAGCTTCTAAATAATTGGTACCTATTCTGCAGTGTAGTGCGGGGACCCAATGTAGCCTTAAATGAGCAATTGTGAAACTTCAAGCAATAAGGTGAAGCAGTACAAAAATCCCCTAGGGTTAATTTTTCCTTCTTTTTTGCACTCTGAATTAATTTATGCCAATCTCCATGCTGCCTCAGCTAAACTGTTACTGGGTCCTGAGCTTGATTCTTTAAAATGTCTTCTTTACAGTCTGTGATACAGATGTACTCTTAGGCACTTGAGAACTTATTGCCAGGTTTTAAAGCAAATTGTGGAGAGACACATTTTTGTATAGCTAATCCTTAAACACAAAGATGAAAATCTCATGTGAAGTGGAAATTTTACAGTAACTTGTTTTGCTTCATGTTGTGTGAATAAGGCCAAACTGCCATGTGGTTTTGAGTTAAACATGCTCAGCGTTCTCACTAGACTGACCTTTATTAAAAAATGAATAACCATCACTTCTGTGAAAATTTTAGACTACGCCTAACCAAATTCTTAGCTGTCCAACTTCCTTCTTTTTTTCCCGTTAGCCTTGTAGTAAGATTTGATTTACTGTTAAGAGCCTTTTTATTTATTAGAACATTCATTTGTGATATTGCTACACTAATTATGGTGACATTGTTCCTTTTGTAATGATGTTTATATACGTATATATAATGTATTCACTTAAAATTTCTAGTCTGACTTCTTGAGGAGTAAGAATAAACCTTTTGGAAGGAAGTCTGTTTACTATGAATGGTTGATATTTTCTCACCTGTCTTGGTTTGAAAGACAGGTGTC